CTTCAAATTTTAGCTAATCAAATCCAGCAATATGTAAAATGGGTAATGTATTATGACCCAGTGAGGTTTATCCTAAGAATTCAAGATGGTTCATTTTAAAACCAATCAATTTTAAGAGAATAAAAATGAAACATTATAAATCATCTCAATAGATACAGAAAATATATTTGACAGAATTCAACATAATTCATAAGAACACTTAGCAAACTAAAAATAAAAGACAATTTCCTCAACCGAGTAATGGACATCTATGAAATACGTACAGCAAGCATATGTATTGTGAAAGACTAAAGGCTCCCCCAAGATCAAGAACAAGACAAGGATATTTGCTCTCACCCCTTCTATTCCACATTAGAACTGAGGTTCTAACCAGTGCAATAAGGTAATGCAAAAATAAAAGGCATGCAGATTGGAAAAGAAGTAAAGCTGCTTTTATTTACAGAAAACATGACTGTCAGTGGAGAAAATCCTAGGATCTCTGCAAATAGCTCTAGAACTAATAAATGAGCTGTGTAAGGTTGCAGCACACAAGGTCAGTATTCAAAAATCAATCTTATTTCCACATACGAGAAATAACCAGAAACTAAAAACAGTAAAATTATCCAAAAATATTAAATATTCTGGGATAAATTTAACAAAATATGTGCAAGACTTGTAACCTGAGAACTATTAAAACCTAAGAGAATTAAACATGACCTAAATTAATAAATGTGTATTTGTTTATGAATAAAAACACTCAATACGGGTAAGATGTCAAATTATCTTGAAAGTAACCCATAGAGTCAATGGAATCCCAATCAAAATCCCAGCAGCCTTTTTTGGAAAAATTCACAAGTTGATTCTAAAACTTAAATGGAAATGAAAGAACACAAAATAGAAAAAGTTTTGAAAAACAGTAAAGTAGGAGGACTTACTAACACAGACGTATTCAGGTGGAGTACTTCTAAGGGGCTGAGGGGAAAAATGCCTGTTGGGGGTCGATGTCAACTACATGATTTTAAAATTTACTATAAAGTTACAGTAATCATGGCCGGGTGCGGTAGCTCATGCCTGTAATCCCAGCACTTTGGGAGGCCGAGGTGGGTGGATCACCTGAGGTTGAGAGTTTGAGACCAGCCTGACCAACATGAAGAAACCTCGTCCCTACTAAAAATACAAAATTAGCCGGGCGCAGTGGGGCATGCCTGTAATCCCAGTTACTCGGGAGCCTGAGGCAGGAGAATCGCTTTGACCTGGGAGGCAGAGGTTGGGGTGAGCCGAGATCCTGCCACTGCATTCCAGCCTAGGCAACAAGAGCGAAATTCCATCTCAAAAAAAAATTAATAATAAAGTTATGGTAATCAAGACAGTGTGGAATTGACATAAAGACAGACACAAAAATCAGTGAAAGAAACTAGAGAGTCAAGAAACAGATTCATACATACAAAGCCAACTAATTTTCAACCAAAGTGCCCAAAAAAATTCAACGAGGGAAGGACAATTTTTTCCAGCAAAAAGGTCCTTAAAGAAATTGGCTATCTATATGCAAAACAAAAACTGAATCTCAACCCTTCTTTCACATCACATACAAAAATGAATTATGGATTAATGGATGACTGACCTAAATGTAAGAGTTAAAACTATTACTGACTCAAATGGATTACTGACCTAAATGTAAGAGTTAAAACTATAAAGCTTCCAGAAGACAACCTAACCCAACGTACTTTTTTTTCCACCAGTTCCCCAAGCCCCAGTTCCCATGGGGCAATTTGAAAAGGGCCATGTAACATCTGCAAAGGAAGTAGTCTGAATTACAGGAGAGGAGGCCTAAGCTTAGAGAACCTGCATCTATGAAGTTTTATGCTTCTCTATCCCTGTTCCAAAGGGAGATACTGTATCTTCCAAGGCTATAAGCAAACCTGACCTTTGCTCTGGAGAAAGACACTCTCTCTTTCTACCCTCCAAGGCTGTTCAACTTGGTACCTCCCTTCATCCTAGGGAGCCCTTCGGCCTCTTCTATGTTGTCCTTTTGTCATGTATCACATGTCTTTGTCTTTCTTGGTTCACTCTCTTACCTTTATGGAGCACATTTTCTACAGAAGGGAGATAAAATTTTTGCAACTGTGCATGTCTGTAAATACCTTTATTCTACCCTCACACTTCCATGAGAATTTGCCTGGCTACTGAAGCTTAGCTCGGAAATAATTTTCCTTGAGGATTTTTATGGCATTTCCCTAATACCTTTTAGATTTCAATACTAGGTTAAGAAGACTGAAGTCATTTAAATTCCTAATCTGTTATATATCACTTGTTTTTCCCCTTTTCTGGAAACTTGTAAGATCTTCTCTTTGACATGAGTTTTCTAAAATTTTTGATGATGTGCTTTGAAATGGGTCTATTTGGGGTTCTTTCAATGTAGAAATTAGTATCTTTCCATTTTAGGAAATATTCTGAATTATTTCATTGAAAATTTCTTTCCATTTTTTTTTTTTTCTGTTATGAAATGCCTTTTATCCAGGAATTAGACTTCCTAGGCTGGTCCTCTAATTTTCTTAGTTTTTCTCTCCTTTTTTCCATCTCTCTGTCCTTTTGCTCTACTTTCTTGGAGATTTTCTCAACCTCATATTATAATCCTTCTTTAGAACTTCTTCCGTTTTTGCTGAGGTATATAAAGTGCACAAGTCTTAAGTGTGCAGCTCAATGACCTTTTACATTGTGCACATTCACTGCGTACACCCAGGCAACACCCGCTTCAAAATACAGAACACTTCCAACTCCCCAGAAGGATCCTTCATCCCTCCCAGTCCGTACTTTAATCACTATTCTGATACCACAGATGAGTTTTGCCTGCTTTTTAAAAATCAGCTTTGAGGTATAATTTTCATACAATTAAATCCACTAATTTTAAGTGTACAAGTTGATGAGTTTTGAAAACTTTATAAACTACAAAACCACCACGACAAAGGTAAAGAACGTTTCTATCCCCCCAGAAAACTCCCTTTTGCCACTTTGCATTCGACCTCCGACTCTCACCATGTCCTCTCCTGTTTCCTCCTCCCTCCACAGGCCCACCTCACTTCACCGCGCCTCACTCTGCTGCACTTCGCAGACACTATTTTACAATTTGAAGATTCGTGGCAACCGTGCATCCAGCAAGTCTACCGGTGCCATTCTTCTGACAGCACGTGTTCACTTTTGTCTCTATGTCACATTTTGGTAATTCTCACAATATTCCAAACTTCTCCATTTTTATTATATCTGTTAATACATAATGTTACCGTGGTAATTGTATTGGGGCACCAGAAACCATGCCCTATAGAAGTTGAATATCATTGATAAATACTGTGTTCTGACTGTTCTGCCAATAGGCTGTTGTCCTGTCTCCCTTCTCCTCCAGCCTCCCTTTTCCCGGAGACACAATACTGAAATTAGGCCGGTGAAGAATCCTACAATAGCCTCTAAGTGTTCAAGTGAAAGGGAATAGTTGCATGTCTCTCACTTGAAATAGAGTTAAAATGACTAAGCTTAGCGAGCAAGGCATGTTGAAAGCTAAGACAGGCCGAAATGTAGATCTCTTGTGCCGAAGAGCCAAGTTGTAAACGCAAAGAAAAAGTTCTTGAAAGAAATTAAAAGTGCTATTCCAGTGAACATATGAATGATGAGAAAGCAAAACAGCCTTATTGCTGATATGGAGAAAGTGTGAGTGGTCTGAACAGAAGATCAAACCAGACACAATATTCCCTTAAGCCAAAGCCTAATCCAGAACAAAACCCTAATTGTCTTCAATTCTATGAAGGCTGAAAGAGGTGAGGATGCTGCAGAAGTATGAAGCAAGTAGAGATTGGTTTATGGGGTTTAAGGAAAGAAGACTTTTCCACAACACAAAAGTGCAAGGTGAACCAGCAAATGCTAATGCAGAAGCTGCAGCAAGTTGTCTAGAACTAGCTAAGATCATTGATGAAGGTGGCTACACTAAACAACAGATTTTCAATGCAGACAAAACAGCCTTCTATTGGAAAAAGATTTCATCTACGACTTTCCTAGCTAGAGAGCAGGAGTGAACGCCTGGGTTCAAAGCCTTAAAGGACAGGCTGGCTCTCTTGTTAGGGGCTGATTTAGCTGACGACTTGAAGTTGAAGCCAATGCTCATTTACTAGTATGAAGATCCTAGGGCCCTTAAGAATTATGCTAAATCTACTCTGCCTGTGCTCTGTAAATGGAATAGCAAAGTCTAGATGACAGCACATCTGTTTACAGTATGGCTTATTGAGTATTTTAAGCCCAACTTTGAGAGTTATGGCTCAGAAAAAAAGATTCTTTTAAAAATACTGCTGCTCACTGACAATGCACCTGGTCCCCAAAGAGCTCTGATGGAGATGTACAAAGAGATAAATGCTGTTTTCATGCTTGCTTATCCATTCCACAGCCCATGGATAAAGGAGTTATTTCAACTTTCAAATCTTATTATTTAAGAAATACATTTTGTAAGGCTATAGGTGCCATAGATAGTGAACTCCTTTGATGAAACTGGGCAAAGTAAACTGAACACTTTCTGGAACAGAGTCATCCTTCTAGATGCCAAGAAGAACATCTGTGATTCATGGGAGGATGTCAAAACATTAACACTAACAGGAGCGTTACAGAAATTGATTCCAATCCTCATGGATGACTCTGAGAGTTTCAAGACTTTAGTGGAGGAAGTCACTGCAGATGTGGTAGAAATAGCAAGAGAACTAGAATTAGAAGTGGAGCTTGTAGATGTGACTGAATTGCTGCAATCTCATGATAAACCATAAACGGGGTAGGGCACAGTGACTCACACCTGTAATCTCAACATTTCGGGAGGCAAAGGCAAGAGGATTGCTTAAGACCAGGAGTTCAAGACCAGCCTGGGTAACACAGCAAGACCCCATCTCTACAAAAAATTTAAAAAAAAATTGAACGGATGAGGAGTTGTTTCTCATGTATGAGCAAAGAAAGCGGTTTGTTGAGCTGGAATCTACTCCTGGTGAAGATGCTTGTGAACACTGTTGAAATAACAATGAAGGATTTAGATTACTACATTATCTTAGTTGATAAAGCGGCAGCAGGATTTGGAGAGGATTGACTCCAATTGTGAAAGAACTGCTACTGTGGGTAAAATGCTATCAAACAGTATAATTGCATGCTATGGAGAAATTTTTCACGAAAGGAAGAGTCAATACATCCACCAAACTCTGTTGTTGTCTTATTTTAAGAATTGCCCTGGGCCAGGCACACTGGGTCATGCCAGTAATCCCAACGCTTTGGGAGGCAGAGGCAGGAGTATCACTTGAGGCTAGACGTTCAAGACCAGCCTGGGCAACATAGCAAGATGCCAATTCTACAAAAAAAAAAAAATTAAAAATTAAAAATTAGTCACATGGGCAGAGAACGCGGGTCCACGCGTGCGATCATCCGTGCATCTAGCCTTTGCCCACACAGCTTTCAGTCATGGCCTCCAGTAATGCGCACGTGGAAAAGCCCGCCCCTGACTTCAAGGCCACAGCCATGGTGGATGGCGCCTTCAAAGAGGTGAAGCTGTGGGACTACAAAGGGAAGTACGTGGTCCTCTTTTTCTACCCTCTGGACTTCACTTTTGTGTGCCCCACAGAGATCATCGCATTCAGCAACCACACCGAGAACTTCCGCAAGCTGGGCTGCGAAGTGCTAGGTGTCTTGGTGGACTCTGAGTTCACCCACCTGGCTTGGATCAACACCCCCCAGAAGGAGGTAGGCTTGGGCCCCCTGAACATCCCCCTGCGTGCTGATGCGACAAGACGCTTGTCTGAGGATTACGGCGTGCTGAAAACAGATGAGGGCATTGCCTACAGGGGCCTCTTTTACACTGATGGAAGGGTGTCCTTCGCCAGATCACCGTTAATGATTTGCCTGTGGGACGCTCATTGGATGAGGCTCTGCAGCTGGTCTGGGCCATCCAGTACACGGATGAACACAGAGAAGTTTGTCCTGCTGGCTGGAAGCTTGGCAGTGACAAGATTAAGCCCAATGTGTATATACCCATGCACAGCCAGGAATATTTCTCCAAACACAATTAGGCTGGCCAATGGGTAGTGAGCTTGTGCCCCTACCTAGGTGCCTGTGCTGGGTACCCACCTGTTCCCCCACCTAGGTGCCCTGTGCTGACCCAGGAAAGGCCAGACCTGCCCCTCCAAACGCCACAGTGTGGGACCCTGGAGGGCGAGGCCAAGGCCTTCTCATGCTTCCACCTGGGAGCTGAATAGTGACGCCCTCCCCAAAGCCCGCCCAGCCACACACAGGCCTAGAGGTGACCAATAAAGTATTAGGGATGGGAAAAAAAAAATTAGTCACATGTGGTCCTAGCTACTCAAGAGGCTGGGGTGGGAAGATCACTTGAGTCTGAGAGTTTGAGGCTGCAGTAAGTTATGATGGCACCACTACACTCCAGCCCTCCAGCCTGGGTGACAGAGTGAGGCCCTGTCTCTAAAAAAAAAAAAAAAAAAAAAGAAAAGGAGGAGGAGGAAGGGAGGAGGAGGAGAAGGAGAAAAAGAAAGAAGAGGAAGGAGGAGGAGGAAGGAAGAAAGATGAGGAGGAAGACAGGAAGAAGAGAGAAGAAGAACAAGGAGGAAGAAGAAATTGCCACAGCCACCCCAACCTTCAGCAACCACTACCCTGATCTGTCAGCAGCCATCGAAAGACCCCCTACCAGTAAAAACATTAAGACTTGCTGAGGCTCAGATAACTGTTAGCGTTTTTAGCATTTTTTAGCAATACAGTCTTTTTTAACAACAGATGCTGGCAAGGCTGCAGCAAAAAGGGAATACTTATACACTGTTGGTATGGAAATCAGTTTAGAGATTTCTCAAAGAACTTAAAACAGAACTACCATTTGACCCAGCAGTCCCATTACTGGGTATATACCCAAAAGAAAACCAATCATTCTACCATAAAGACACATGCACTCATATGTTCACTGCAGCACTATTCACAATAGCAAAGCCATGGAATCAATCTTGGTATCCATCAACAGTGGACTGGATAAAGAAAAAGTGGTACATATATACCATGGAATACTACATGGTCTTAAAAAAGAACAAAATCATGTCCTTTACAGCAACATGGATGTAGCTGGAGGCCATTATCCTTAGCAAATTAATGCAGGAAGAGAAAACCAAATACTACATATTCTTATATACAAGTGGGAGCTAAACATTGGGTACTCCTAGATATAAAGATGGCAACAACAGACACTGGAAACTAATAGAGGTGGGAGGGAGGCAGGCAAGGGTTGGAAAACTATCTTTTGGCTACTACACTCACCATCTGGGTGACGGGATTATTCATATCCCAAACCTCAGCATCATGCAATATAGCCATGTAACAAATCTGCAGACGTACCCCCTAAATCTAAAATAAAAGTTAAAAAATGTTTAAGTCTTTTTAAATTGAGGCATGTACATTTTTTAGATGTAATGCTATTGCACACTTAATAAACTATAGTATAGTGTAAACGTAACTTTTATATGCGTTGGGAAACCAGAAAGTTTGTGTGACTAGCTTTATCGCAATATTTGCTTTACCAAAATGGTCTGGAACAAAGCCCACAGCATCTCCGAAGTATGCCTGTAGTTGTCAGTTCTAGAATGCAAAATAAATAAACTCATACAGTATGTACTCTGATTTCCTTCACTTAGAATAATGCTTTTGAGATTCAACTATGCCCTTATATGTATCAGTAATTACTTTTTATTGCTGAGTAGTATCCCACTATACAGATACACTAAAATTTGTTTATTCACTCACCAGTTCTCCATAGGGCACTTCACAGAAACAAATCACAAAAGTACAGGACATATCATTTACCCAGGCTTTATTTCCACTGAGTTTACATCTAAAATTACAAGATACAAAGAAAACAATCCACTATGAGGGAGAATACAACATAGAGCAAAATTAAGGCCTTTATCTAAAGTCCTTGATAATTCATTAGATAGCTGCTATAAAATAAGTACATTTAAAGACATAGGGACAAGAAATTTTAAAATAAATAAGCTTATTTGAAAAATAAAAAGAACTTCTGGCATTAAAATATATAGTCACTGAAATAAAAAAAAAAACTCAGTGGACTGAGGAAGCAAGAGCTTAGACACAGATGAAAGGAGAATCAATAAACCAGAAGACAGAGCTGTAGAAACTGACCAGAATGCCGTATATACAGAGAGAATAAGTAAATAAGATTAAGAAATGCAGCAGAGTAGAAAGAGAAGATCCATCATATATGTCTCTTATGAATTCCAGAAGGAGAAAAAAGAAAGGCAAAATTCAAAAATATAATGGCTGAGAATTTTCCAAAACTAGCAGAAGATAGTAATTTTCAGTTTAAAAGCAAATCAAAGTTCACACCTAGAGACAAGGTAGTAAGAGTGAAGAACATTTACAATGGAAAGAAATGACAAATTATATACAAACGAAAGAAATTATATTGATAGGTAACTTTTCAAGAGGAACATCGGGAGCCTGGAGACAGTGAAATAATATCTTCCAAGGGGTAGGGGGTTGACAACCTAGAACTGTATACCAAACCAAGTTTATGTTTGATAAAGGCCACATAAAAATTTCAGACAGAAAAACCTGGGTATGAATCCAGGCACCATAAATTTTTAGTTGTGACCTCAGACAAATCATGTAATTTCAATAGGCCTCAGTTCTGTCTACAAAATAGGAAAAATAGTATTTATCGTAAGGTTACTTTAAAAATTAAATGTGATCATATGTTAACATCACTCCTCACATACAACACTGAATCAATGTAAGGAGTATTTTTACTCTACACTCAACACCAATACAGATAATTGAAGCAGTCCATTTTTCCTCTGAAAAAAGAAATCAACTGATTCATTGATTTCTTTATAAATTTCGTTATAAATTTCTAGAAGCTATACTATAATTACTTTTAGTCACAATCTTGAAATATACAGTTTTTTTTAAATCTCCTTTACTATAAATTAGAAGAATTTCTAGGACTTTTTAAAATGTCAGGTTAAATCTAAAGACAAAATATTTTAGCAATGTCTAATATTTGACAATATGTCTCTTATTTTGAGTTTATTATGTATTCAAAAATAAATTAAGCATCTTCTTACAGTATTTACTGCTGAACTGATGCAGCACTGCTGCCCTATACAGAATGCTCCAGGTAATATCTTCAAGGAGAGTCCTAGGCTCAGACTGAGAAGAGCTCAGTCCAAGTTCATGCTCAGACCAAGAAGGAATACTGCTTTATCTGGTCCCAGATAATTATTTTTGTAACTGTTTCATGACTCAGATCTAAACATAACACATCAAGTCAACTCCTCAGCTACATCTCCAACCTTTCTGTTCTCTCCTTTAAATCTACCATCACCCACAACACACACACACGAACTTTCTCTCCCAACATGAATTTTTTATCTCATGCCAAGACTAAGACACATAATTGAAAAAATGGAAAGCTAGCTTGTATCCAGAACCCAACCCCACCAGGGACGTCACTCATAATTCCTATTACAAATGGAATCATATTTATCATTCTTTTGTCTCCACGCTAATGGTTTTTAAAGAGGAAACAAACATTTTTTAAACTAATTTTATGTGAATGATGTCAATCTAATTCAGTTATACTTACAATACATACGAGACTAAGAAAATAATTTCTGCTTTAAACTATTTTTATTCTGACACTTCCACATTTTTCTCATATTGTTCCTTTTCCTCCTAAAAGTTATAAATTCCTGAAACTAGATGCCTATTTTAGAAACACCTAAGTAACCTGAACTATAGCAATGTGAACTAAATAACACTAGAACAGTGGTAAGCAAAACAACAAAACAAGTTTTATTTTCAATATTTTGTACCACAATGAATTTTATCAATATGTCTAGGCTTTACATGTTTAATGAAAAAAAAAAAATGCTTCTCCAAATCACCAAAGTTCAGTTTATGTCATACAATGGCTGCTATAAATGAAAGCAATTAAGGAAACACATAACCACGATTTCTCAAATTAATGTTATCTTGAAGTGCGTTTCAAGGGTAATAAATGAAGCTACCATGTGAGTACTAATCAACAAAACAGTTAATTTTGAAAACCACAATACCTCCCATCTCTTTATATTGGGTAACCGTCTGAAGGACTACAGTTTTCCATGAATAATAGAGAAAACAACTTAATCACAAACTCAGACATTACAGAAGAATATATGTAGTAATGAAGCCTTTTCATTTATTTTTTACACATATAGAAATCACTTCTCAAATATTTAGAAACAAAAAAAAACTGTTCATAAACATAAAAGAATCTAATATATTAATATTGGATTCTAAGAACTTAAATGTTTCTCAGAAGTGTAACCATTACAGTAATTTCTGCTCATGTTCCAAATTCTACTGGCAACTTTAAAATATTACAAAGGACAGAAAATGTGGATCATCTGTTACTGTGTCTCAAGATGACAGCTTAAACTAAACCTGGCCGGCTGTGGTGGTTCACGCCTGTAATCCCAGCACTTTGGGAGGCAAAGACCAGCAGATCTCCTGAGGTCGGGAGTTCAAGACCAGCCTGGCCAACATGGCGAAATCCTGTCTTCACTTAAAAAAGTACAAAAATTAGCCAGGCATGGTGACAAGCGTCTGTGGTCCCAGCTTCTCAGGAGGCTGAGGTGGGAGAAGCTTGAACCCAGGAGGCGGAGGCTGCAGTGAGCCGAGATAGCACCACTGCACTTCAACCCGGGCAACAAGAGTGAGACTCTGTCTCAAAAAAAAAAAAAAACAAAAAAAAAACACTATAAATTTTATCTTAAGTGCATAAATACCCTTTTTAGCACCAAAAGTAATAGTAGCGACGTTTACTGAATGCTAACTCCCCACCAAGTAATACAATAAAAATGTTTTTCTGGGCATTATCTAATCTAATCCTTATAACACTACAAAACAGTAACAGTTACCCATGATTTAACAGAGCAGGTGACTGAGGCTTTAAAGAATTTAAACAATTTGCCCATAGAGCCTGGATTTACACCCAGATGTGTCTAACTCAGAG